CTAGAGATTATTAGTTTTAGCCAAAACTCAATCCAGGATTTATTATGCTTAGGACCTATTTGCTTCTCTGCTTCTCAGCTTGAAAAATTATACTAATATTAACATAGTAGTAAAAATAAAGGGGCAATGTTGAATACTGCCCTCATTCCTATGTTGAATGCAACTTTGGCTACTGTTTTGGTTTATTCTCTCAATTCATGGTATGGTTCACATGAACTTTTCTAGTAGTTTTCACAGAGAGGTTTTAATATGATGAGATCTAATTGTGCCCATTTTGTCTTCTTTTTTTTTTTTTTTTTTTTTTAAAGAGAGAGAGGAGAGAGAGAGAGAAAGGAGAGAGAAAATTTTAATATTTATTTTTTAGTTTTCTGTGGACACAACATCTTTGTTTGTATGTGGTGCTGAGGATCGAACCCGGGCCACATGCATGCCAGGCGAGCGCGCTGCTGCTTGAGCTACATCCCCAGCCCTCCATTTTGTGTTTATGGATTATGTTTTTGGTGTCCTGTTTAAAAACTCTTTGCTAGGTGCAATGAGACATTCCTATAATTTCAGCAACTAAGGAGGCTGAGGAAGGAGGATCACATGTTTGAGGTCAGCTTCAGCAACTTAGCAAGACCATGTCTGAAAATAAAAAATAAAAAAGACTGGGGATATAGTTCAAGAGTGTAGCACCTCTGGGTTCAATCCCCAGTACAGAAGGGTAGGTGGGAATAACTCTGTGAGTTTAGGTCCTGAAGACTTTCACATATGTGTTCTTCTAAAAGTTTTATGTTTTATACTTTATGAACCATTTTAAATTACTTGTTCTATAAGGATTAAATTGAGGCTTATTATTATTATTATTTTGCTTAGTTTTCATTTAATTGCTCCAGCACCTACAGAATTATGAACTTTTTTGAAGCTTTAAAGTAGGTAGAGAAGATGAAACAGATAGATACCTTTTAAAGCATCTTCTCTGTGTGTGTGTTTATATATATATATATATATATATATTTTTTTTTTTTTTTTTTTTTTTTTTTTTGGTACCAGGAACACTCGGCCACTGAGCCAAATCCCTAGCCCTACTTTGTATTTTATTTAGAGACAGGGTCTCACTGAGTTGCACCTCGCTTTTGCTGAGGTTGGCTTTGAATTCACAATCCTCCTGTCTCAGCCTTCTGAGCTGCTGGGATTACAAGTGTGCGCCCTGGCTACCAAGAGGTAGTCCCTGACCAGTCACATTTATATTACATCAGTCTGTGCCAATCAGATTATCCAGACAGGGAATTTGGAACTGATATCCAAAAACAGTGAGCAAAGTAGAGCAGAGTAGACATTCGCTACTGAGAGTGTGCCCAACATCTAATCTCCTTCCTGTGTTTGGAGAAATGCCCATTGTTTGCATGTTGATGGAACATTTGGCCAGTCTATGAGCTGACCAAGGACCATGAGTCCAAAACTATGACTAAGAAAAAAGGAAATTCACAATGAGACTTCCATGTCCAAGAGTATGCCAGACTTCATAATCTAAGAAGGCTTATGTGGATCTGGGGTTGTGGCTCAGTGGTAGAGCACTTGTCTGGCATGTGTGAGAGACTAGGTTCTATTCTCAGCACCGCATATAAATAAATGAATAAAATAAAGGCCCATTTAAAAAAAATAAAGGAATCTCTTTAAAAAAAATAAAAATTAGGAGCTGGGATTGCAGTAGAGCACTTGCCTAGCACGTGCAAGGCCCTGGGTTCCATCCGCATAGCACCACATAAAAATAAATTAGTAAAATAAAGATATTGTGTCCAACTACAAGTAAAAAATAAATTGAAAATAAATAAAGAAATAAAAAATAAACAAATAAATAAAACAATAAGGCTTATGTACCAGAATACTCATGTGTTGAATAAACAAAGCATATGTATATATACATATATATGTGTGTGTGTGTATATATATATATATATATATATACACACATACATATGTATTACTGAACTTATAAGAAAATAATACAATGACTGGAGATATATCTCAGTTGGTAGAGTTCTTGCCTTGCATGCACAAGGCTCCAGCATCAAAATAATAATAATAATAATAGTAATAATAATACAAATCTCCAGTGTTAAGGAACAATAAAGCTGGGCATGGTGTCACAGGCTTGTAATCCCAGCTCTCCAGAGACTTGAAACAGGAGAATCTCAAGTTCAAGGCCAGCCTGGGCAATTTAATAAGACCCTCTCTCAAAAAATAAAAATAAAGTAAAAAGATCTGGGGATATAGCGCAGGAGAGCCTCGGGTCTGTCCTCAATACTGTGAAAACAAAAGAAAAAACTAGTGGGTGGAGGCTATCTCCAGAGTGGTAAATTAATGGAAAAGCCCTAAGGACCCATAGTAAAATGTGTGTGTGTGTGTGTGTGTGTGTGTGTGCGGCGCGCGCCACACCCCCAGCCCTTTTTATTTTATTTATTTATTTTAATTTTTATTACCTCTTATTTCTTTCTTTTTTTTTTTTTAATGTGGTTCTGGGGATCAAACCCAGGGCCTTGTGCATGCAAGGCAAGCGCTCTACCAACTGAGCTATATCCCCAGCCCTTAATTTTTTTATTTTTTATTTTGAGTCAGGCTCTTGCTAAATTGTGGAGGCTGGCCTTCAATTTAGGATCTTTGTGCCTCAGCCTTAGAAACTGGGACTGCAGGCATGCATCAACCATGCCTGGTCTCTCCTAGAGTCTAGATCATTAATAACTATGTAGGAGAATGGAGGTCTAAGCCCGAGACAATGAAATAAAGCCCTTGAATAAAAGCCTGGAACTTCAACAGATTTAGAGTCAAAGGGTGAGCTAAACAAAAGTTTGCCTGATAAAAAAGGGAGGCAAAAAAGAAATCTATCGGGCTAGGGACGTGGCTCAAGTGGTAGCACGCTCGCCTGGCATGCGTGCGGCCCAGGGTTCGATCCTCAGAACCACATACAAACAAAGATGTTGTGTCCGCCGAAAACTAAAAAATAAATATTAAAAAAGAAACCTATCTTTGTGTATATGACACCAGGTGGACTATTTATTAAAAAATAAATATTAAAAAAAAGAAACCTATCTTTGTGTATATGACACCAGGTGGACTATACTCCAATAATGGTAATAGTAAGAGTCTCTTCTAAGCATTTATAAACATAGTTTTACTCTAATAAGAGTGTGAGGTTTGAATTGAAGTGATTGCAGACTGGTAGTATGGTTCAGCATGCAGGGAGTATAACATAAACCTTCACGGGCATGGTGGCTTACATGAGTAATTTCAGTGGCTCTGGAGTCTGAGGCAGGAGGATCATCTATTTCAAAGCCAGTCTCAGCAATTTAGTGAGGCAATTTAGCTAGACCCTGTCCCACAATAAAAAATAAATAAATAAAAAGGGCTGGGGATGTGGCCCAGTGGCTAATTGCCCTTTGGTTCAATCCCTGGTACCAAAAAAACAAAACAACAACAACAAAAAACCTCTGGGACAACACATCCTGAACTTATAGAGAAACTCAGGGTAAATACAATCACAAACACAAGTCCACATGAATAAAGATCAGCAACAAGCAAAATTTTCTTACCTCCAAGAGTCTCAGTTATTATAATCATCAAGTAGATAAATGAAGGCAAAATGAAGATTTTTTTCAGACAAAGAAAATCATAGAGAATTCATCATAAGCAGACCTGCTTATATTGTTTCTTCTGCAAGAAACAATAATGAACACTACTCAAGCAGAAGGAAAATGAGACCAGAGGGAAATTCAGATTGAGTACAAAGGAATGAAGAGTGCCAGAAATATCTGCTATGCTTTGAATAATTGTATTCCCTCCAAAATTCACATAAAAACTTAATCTCCAATGCAACAATATTAAGAGGTGGGGCTTTTGTCCATTGCATGCAAGTACTTAGGAGGCTGAGACAGAAGGATCTCAAATTCAGGGCCAGCCTTGGCAACTGAGTGAGACCCTATCTCAAAATAAAAAAATAAAGTAGACTGGAGATGCAGCTCAGTGATAGAGCACTTCTGGGTTCAATCCATAGTATTGGAAGGAAAAAAAAAAAGAGGTGGGGCCTTTTAGGAGGTGATTTATGTATGAGGTTCCACCCTCATGGATGGGAGCTGGGACCTTATAAAAAAGCTGGAGGGAAGTAGCTAGACCCCTTTTGCCCTCTTCTTTCCAGCATATGAAGACTCAGTAACAAGGTTCCAACTTGAAAGCAGAGAGCCAACTCTCCCAGACACCAAACCTGTCTGCACCTTGATCTTGAACTTAAAGCCTCTAGCACTGTGAAAAGCAAATTTCTATTCTTTATAAATGACCAAGTCTCAGACATTTTGTTATAACAGCAGGAATGGCTAAGACAATATCTTTAAAAGGTAATTAACTGGGCTGGGGATGTGGCTCAGTGGTAGAGTGCTTATCTAACATGCACCAAACCCTGGGTTCAATCCCCAGTGCTTAAAAAAAATGTAATTAACTTTAAAAAATTGTAATGTATTATAAAGTTCATAGCATGAAAATAAGGAAAATAACCGTACAAAATATGGAAATTAAATGAAAGTATACAATGGTAAATTTCACATAATACTGTATTTTTATAATGAGACTATAATAAAGATATATTTTGTGATCCCAATTAACCACCAAAAACTAAAGATGTGAAATGAGTAGGCCAACATTAGCAGTAAAATTGATTAGTAGCATGGTGTGTGCCTGCAGACCTGGCTCCTCAGGAGGCTAAGGCAGGAAAATCACTTGTGTCCAGGAAATCAAGACCAGCCTGGGCAACACAGCAAGACCTCACCCCCAATATATGGATAATAAAAAGCATGTAATACAAAATAAGGAAAAGATAGAAAAAGGAGTAAAGTACACCCAGAACAAGTAGAAAACAAATAGCAATATGGTATAATTAAGCTCAGCCATGTTGAAAATCACACGAAATGTAGGGTCTGAACACTATGCTAAGAAGGCAAAAATTGTCAGATTGGTTAAAAAAGGCAAAGTTCATCGAATCTTGGCCTTTTGGCTAAGATCTAATAAGTAGTACCTTTTCATATTGGTTTAATATCTGATATGTCCTCCATCATAGAATAATATGTTTAATGGATTTCTGGAGCAGGGAGATGGAATAGGAGCTTGCTCTATCCATTTCATGCATTGATGTGATATTACAATATCTCCAGCAATGGTGCACCCCCTTCAGAGGGATTTAAAAAAAGAGAAAGAAAAGGAAGGTTCAATCCTATTCTGCCTACAACAAACAACTTACATAAAATATGAAGATACAGAGTAAAAGTAAAAGAATTTTAAAAGATATACTATGCAGAGCTGAGGTTGTAGTTCAGTGGTAGAGCGCTTGCCTTGCATGTGTGAAGCACTGGGTTCAATCCTCCACACCACATAAAAATAAAGATATTGTGTCCATCTATAGCTAAAACAATATTTTTTAAAATTTATTGTTTGGTTTTCGGCGGATACAACATCTTTATTTTATTTGTATGTGGTGCTAAGTTTCGAACCCGGCGCCGCGCGCATGCCAGGCAAACACACTACCACTTGAGCCACATCCCCAGCCCTAAGACAATATTTTAAAAAATAAAATATATATTATGCAAACTTTAAAACTAATCTGGTGGGCTGGGAATATAGCTCAGTGGTAGAGAACTTATGTAGCATGTTTGAGACCCTGGATTCAATATTCAGTACTGTGAAATTTAAAAATAATAATTAACTATTTAAAACAAACAAACAAAAAACAATGTATCATAAAGTTCACAGCATGCAAAAGGAAAATAATAGCACAAAGGATTGAAGGGGAAAATGACAAAAGAAGAAGAAGAAGGAGGAAGAGGAGGAGGAGGAGGAGGAGGAGTTGAAAAGAAAAACTAATCTGGAGTGGCTACATAATATCAAAGAATTTTTAGCACAAATATTACCAGGGTTGGAGAGACATTTCATATTGATAAAGAAGTCATTTCATCAAGAGATTATAATTTCAAGTATGTATATACCTTACAACAGAGCTTCAGAATATATAAACAAAACCTTAGACAAGACTTCAAATATGTTTGAAGATTTGTAATTTCCTCTATCAGAAACTGATAGAACAAGCAGATAGGAAATTAGTACATTATGGAAGACCATTGAGCTCATCACATTTATAGAATAATGTTGAAATATTCATTTCAATATGCACAGGACATTTTAGAAGACCAACCATCTTTAAGCAATAAAACAAACTTCAATAAATTGAGAAAAACTGAAATCCTATAAAGGGTCTTCTCCAACCACAATGGAATTAATTATACACTCTAACAGTAATTATACACTTTATAGCTGAAAACCCCCACAAATATTTGGAAATCAAACAATACACTCCCAAATAATGCTTTAGGGACAAAAGGTGTGTATCTCCGTGGTAAAATGCTTGCCTATCATGAGCAAGGCTCTGGGTTCAATCTCCAGCACCAATAAATAAGTACATTAAATAAATAAGTCTTCAAGGAAGGAGCCACAAGGGAAATTAGAAAGTATGTTGGACTGATTAAAACTGAAAACACAATAAATAAAGACAATACTTAGACACTTATAAATATAATGCTCATCTCAGAGAAGAAGGCTCAAATCAATTATTTGAGTTGCCATTTTATAAAACTAGAAAACAAGAACAAAAATTAAATCCAAAATAAGCAAAGAGAAGAATATATTTTAATTGCTTGCATAGCATGCTCAAGGCTTTATCCTCTGCAAGAAAGGTGGAGGAGGGTGGTGAGTGGAGGGAATCCAAGAGTTGGTCCTACTGGTACAATTTCTCCACCCAGCAAAAGAATAATAAGGAAATACCTTTATTACCATTATTAATTTTATATCAATAAATTCAATTTCTTATAAGAACCGACCAAATTCTGCTAAGCATTCAAACTGCCAAATATCTATCACTCAAGAAAATACACAATCTGAATGATCCTTTTTTTTTTTTTTTCTTTTGGTACCCGGGATTAAACCCAGGGGCACTTTACCACTGAGTCACATCCCCAGCCCTTTTAAGTTTTTGTTTTAAGTTAGTGTCTCCCTAAGTTGCTTAAGACTCTCTACAGTACAGAACCTGGCCTTGAACTTGGATCCTCTTACCTAAGCCTCCCAAATTGCTGGGATTACAGGTATGCATGGCTGACCCTATCTCTGATCCTATCTCTACTAAGCAAATTGATTTTAGTTAAAAATCTTCTCACAAAGATGATTTGAAGCCCATCTGACTTTGCTGTGTATTCTACTAAACACTTAAGGAAGAAAAAAATACTAATTCTAAGCAAACACTTCCGGAAAATAGAAAAGGAGAAAACATTACCCAGCTCATCAATGATATAGGGGGTTGGGGTATAGCAGCACAGCGTTAGAGCACAAGCTTACCATTCATGATGCCCTGGGTTCAATCCCCAGTACCAAAGCAAAGACCCATCACAGCAACATATTAAAAGAGTAATTAATTATGACAAAGTGGTCTGTGACCTAGAAATGTAAGGGTTATATAATAGTTTAAAGAGCAAAGAGAAAAGAGGAGGAAGGTCCTGTGGCATCAGGATATATTTACTTTTTTTTTTTTTAAGAGAGAGTGAGAGAATTTTTTAATATTTATTTTTTAGTTCTCTGAGGACACAACATCTTTGTTTGTATGTGGTGCTGAAGATCGAACCTGGGACGCATGCATGCCAGCCGAGCGCGCTACCACTTGAGCCACATCCCAGGCCTTTTTTTTTTTTTTTTTTTTTTAATGTGACCTCAAAAGCATTGTCCACAAAAATGAAAGGAGACCAATAGGACCATGACAAAATAAAAAAATCCAACACTTCCAAAAGGAAATCAACAGATTGAGGAGAGAACCTAAAGAATGTGAGGAGTCCTTTGCAAACTATGAATCTGATAAAGTTAATATACAAAATATAAAAGAAACAGAAACAATTCAACTGCTAGAAAACAAACAACCCAATTTAAAAATGGAAAAAAGACCTAAGTGAATTTTGCTTAAAAGAAATGAAAATGCCAACAGGTAAAGGAAAATGACAACATCACTAGGAATCAAGGCAATTAATTACAGTAACATACCAAGAAAAGAAACAAAATATGATGTTCTCAAAAGACATCAAAAAAGTATTAGGGGCTGTGGCTGTGGCTCAGAGGTAGTGCACTTGCCTGGCATTTGTGAGGCAATGAGTTTGATTCTCAGCACCACATATAAATAAATAAAATGAAGGTCTGTCAACAACTAGGAAAAAAAAATTTTTAAAGTATTTCAAAAATTCAACATTCATGATAAAAATTCTCAGCAACTAGGAGGGATCTTCCTCTTAATAAACAGCATCTATGAAAAACTTTGCAGTTAATATCATACTTAATGGTAAATGAATAAATATTAAATGCATGGTATAATAAAATAATAATAATAATAAAGCAAGAATAAAACATCCATATCTTCTCTCACCATTTCTATCCAACATTGAACTGGAAGTTCTACCTAGTATAAATAGGAAAGAAAGAGACAAAGAAGGAGGAAGAGGAAGAAGTAAGGAAGGAGAAGAGGAGGGAGGAAGGGAGAAATGAAAGAGAGAAAAAGACACAAAGAAATTAAAGGTGTCTAATGGTGAAGTAAAACTGCAATTCACAAATCACATGATTATATAGAACATCTTAGGAATATTAAAAAAAAAAACTCCACTAGAATTAATAAATGAGTTATGTTTACAGAATATAAGATGAACAAATTTATATAAAATAAATTGTATTTTGCATACCCGTAACAATCAAAATTTAAAGCTTAAAAGCTAATTCTATTTATAATAACATAAAAAATATGTGCTGGGCACTGTGGTGCACCTCTGTAATCCCAGTGACAGGAGGCTGAGGCAGTAAGCTTGAGGCCAGCTTAGCTCTGTCTCAAAATAAAAAGTGAAAAGGGCTAGGATATACCTTAGTGGTAGAGTGCCCCTGGGTTCTCGTAAAGGAAAAAAAAAATACATGAAATAATCAGGATTTATTTTAATAAAATATATGTAAGACTTGTGCAATAAAAAATACAAAACATGGGGGCTGAGGATGTGGCTCAAGTGGTAGTGCGCTCGCCTGGCACGCGAGGGGCACTGGGTTCGATCCTCAGCACCACATAAAAATAAAATAAAGATGTTGTGTCCACCGAAAACTAAAAAATAAATATTAAAAAATTCTCTCTCTCTCTCTCTCTCTCTTAAAAAAAAAAATACAAAACATGGGGCTGGGGTTGTGGCTCAGTGGTAGAGTGCTCGCCTAGCATGTAGGAGGCACTGAGTTCGATCCTCAGCACCATATAAAAATAAAATAAAGATATTATGTCCACCTAAAACTAAAAAATAAATATTAAAAAAATATAAAACACTGTTGAGAGAAATTTCATTTGATTTTTTATTATTTTTTGTATTGTGATTGAACCCTGGGGTATTTGCCACTTAGTTACATTCTCAGTTCTATTTTATTTTTTATTTTGAGAAATGGTGTTGCTAAATTGATGAGGATCTCACACTAAATTGCTGAGTCTGCCTGGAACTTTCAAACCTCCTGCCTCAGGTACCTGGGCCACTGGGATTATAGGTGTGCCCCCTGAGCCAGCTGTTAAGAGACATTTTAAAAGATCGAAATAAGTGAATAAATAAATGTTTGTGGGTCTGAAAACTCAATAATGCTAAGACGTCAATTATGTTCATATTGATCTCTAGATTTAATGCAATAACATAGAAAATCCCAGCATATCTTGTAAAAATCAAGCTGATTCTAAAACTTCTATCAGACTGGCAATGTAGCTCAGTAGTAGAATGTTTACCTAGTATGAGGAAGGCTCTGTGTTTGATTCCCCAAAACCACAAACAAATAATAATAAAATTTAAAAAATGTAAACTTTTAAAAATAAATAAAACTTGGGGCTGGGGTTGTAGTTCAGTGGTAGAGCACTTGCTTTGCACATGTGAGGCACTGGGTTCAATCCTCAGCACTGTATAAAAATAAATAAAGGTATTGTGTCCACCTACAACTAAAACTATTAAAATAAATAAATAAATAAAACTTGTATGGAAGAGCAAAAGACCTAGATTCACCAAAATAATAATAAAAAATGAATACCTCTTTTTTAGACTTATAAAGCTATTAATAATGACCTCTTTTCTAGACTTATAAAG